TCCTCTCAGTAAAATTTGGAAAGGAAATCCAAATCTGAAACGTTGCTCTCTTAAAAGTGAAATCACTCCTATGAAAATAAAGAAAACTGAAAGTGTGAGGACAGCCCATTCCATGCTCTTAGTAGATTTGGCCGTAATTACCCAGTCTACCCATCATGGTTTTTGACTTCATCGTCGTACAAGAAAAGTCATGGGAGTGAATTTATTTCCTTTTTTTTTTTTTCCAGAAGTGTGAAGTGTCTTCTTCCTTATCCTTATCCTTATGGGATGTTTCATGTTAAACAGACATTATATATACAAATATATATATACATATATACTCACATGTGTACATAGAACAGCACAAATGGAAAAAGTCCACTCCTTCTATGCTGTCAGATGGCAGTGTTGGAAGGGTTTTGACTCTCTTTAAGATCTAAGCAGTTGTTTATATTGAGAAAGCCACATTTCTTAAATAAGTTAATGATGTTTATTTTAATTTATGAACTTCAAGGAAATTTTTTAAAAGGAAAGGAGAGAGAAAAAAACAAAAAGACCTGAGGAAGCCGTAAGTATGAAGTGAGTTGTCTCCACAGAACAGAGTATTTACAAAGGACAAGAGAACATTTATTGCATCCTCTTTTGAGTGAAGCCCAGAGAGACTTCAAGCCCAGAGAGACTCCCTTTTACGATGATGCAGGCCCAGGCTTGTGTCCTTCCCCCTGAGTGCTGCTCTCTCTCAGATGGGATGTCAGTAGCCTCACCATGGCCCACAAGCTATTACAATACTCCCTCTTTCTGCCAGTCAAGATCTAAAACACGAGCTGCCCCTTGTGCTTATCTGAGCTGTGGCCTTCTTGCCCAAATGTTTGGCTACTTATATATTTTCTTGACCGTTGGTAGTTATTTTACAAATTCTTATCTCTTCCCTCCAAGCTGAGGACACTCTGTGGTCAAATCACTTATTTTAATAGAAAAAAAAAATTTACCAATTCTGAAGTAGGGGGAAGGAATGTAAGCGTGGATATGTCCTTGGTTGTGGCTATTCTTGGCTCTAGCCGTGTTTAATTCATTCTCTATAAAAGCCTTCAATCATGCCCTAGAGAACCTGGTAAAGAATTGTCCATTTCAGTGACTTAAGTATGTAATGTGGATCATGTCCTGCACTGAGTTTTGGAATTTCAGAGAACTGATAAACTTACCTCTATCAGGGCCTTGGGAGAGACACAAAAAGTCAAAATGTTTTTGATAGATGCAAGACATCTTGTGTTGTGAGAGTTCCTCATGGGATACCTGCTTTGGAAAATTAAATACCCAAGATGTTTGGGAAAATTACGCAGCCCTCTATTATCAGGTTATCTTGGACAAAGAGGGGGAAAAAAAAGATACGAGTTCAGAATTATTGCCAGTTGTTAAGTTTTAGATTTTCCTTTGAGCCTGCTCCTGTCTACATATTTTTCTGAGTATTTCTTTAGCGAACACTGCAATTCATGGAATTTATTTTGAGAGTTTTTTTAAGTACAAAAAAAAGGCCTCAATAGTTGATGATGTTTACAGAGGTATAGCTTAATTGGTACTTATTCAGTTTCTGTAGGTGCATACCTGTTTTGCTGGGAGGAGTTGAGTGATTGAAGAAAAGCAGGTGGACTGAGATAGCCATGTCTCACATTCCTTCTTCCACACAACATGTCACCACATTGTGGGCTACAGCATGGACATAGGTTGAGTGGAATTTGGAATCCAGGTGAAATGATTGCAAAGTGTTTATCTAACTGACAACCAGCCATGGCCATGTAGAAAGACAATGTTGGTGGGATTTAGGAAAAGAGCTTCATATTCCCCTTTCATATCACTGGAGCAATAAGCTTTCTGGGTGGAAGCAGCAAAAAAGAGTTCTATTTTTCATCAGGTTATCCTGTTCCCTAAGTCTCAGCACTATAAGCCATGCAAAGGGGAGATTATAACAAGATAACTAACAAACACTTGAGCACTTAACTGTGTTCCTGGTGGGTCTGGAGCCCTGTGTTGGAAAGAGAAGGGTAGTAAAATAAAGCAATTATGCTGCCATGGCTTTTTGCTTTTTTTTCAAGTTGGTATCAAGTTTGTCAGAATTAGCTTTCTCTGGTCTGTTCCCACCTTCCCCTGTAATGGTGTTGGACAGTGAAGAAAAAGCTTGGATTTCTTGTCTGCAACTGCTGTAGGCCTTGAGAATTAGCTTGATTTTGATATAAAGCTTTACACATCTTAGTCTGTTTACAGTCTTTATGAATCTAGTTCTCTGACACTTGGCTTTCACTGTCCTCCCAGGTGCACTGGAGAGAAAGCAGTTATGGTTTGAAAGTGCTAGAGCAAAACAATTGCCAGCAAGTGAGTTTGTATTAGTACTTCTTTTGTCTTCCATCTAGATTGAGTTACAGTTACCAAGTTTGGAGTACCAGAGAAGGCTCTTTGTGGGACTGAGCTCTGGGAAGGAATCCTTTTGAGGATTGCATAAATGCTCTGTGATCCTGAGCCCTAAGCTTGACCCCAGACTAGACTTGTACCCTGAGCCTGACTTATCAGCTCCAGAGCCCATACTACAGCTTCAGAGCATTTCCAGCTACGCCTTTTGAGAATACCTTCTCCTACGAATTGTGGAAAGCCAAAAGGCCTCTTTTCCATTCCTTTCCACTTTTCCTGGCCCAGTAGTGAAAGCTCTTGCTTGCCTCAGCAGCAAATAGTTGCCTTCCCAGCCCCTCTACCTGGAGGTCAAGAATTTGGGATACTTTTGCTTTTATCAACATGTCCATTGAAAGGACCTATTTTACTAGGTTGGGGTTTCTTTTAAGCAAGATATGTTGAAGTGTTGAATTTTAAATAGAATCTCTTTTCATGTTTGAGTGATTGTTGTTAGTTCTAGAAGCATTCTCTTGTTCCCATGACCCAGTTATGAATGCTCTTGAGTTTAGGAAGGACAAAGTGATGAAATTTGCATGAGATAAAATAAATATCTTCAGGAGTGAAAGAACCTGGGAAAGATGCATGATCCAAAAGGAGACTAATATATAGCAGCTGTTCTCAGTAGCTCAAAGGCTCAAGGAAACAGGAAGATGTCCTTTGCCTGCTCTTAAAGTACACAGATAATACATATGGAAAGGCAGTTTCTGTGGACAACACATGCACAACCACACCAAACTCATGATTCCTGGGGCTTCCTCTTTCTGAATGTGAATTCAGTTTATTAGAGCAGTGATTCCCATACTTTCTTGAGTATTTTAGATTCTATGCTCATATTTGTTAGGTTTTATAACAGTGGTTCTTTCTTCTTTAAAATGTACCATATGTGTTATATGTATATATGTTAAGATTACTTGAAATTGGTTTGGTTTGACTTTGTCTCAAGTCCCTAGATATCATTACTGATGCGATGGAGGGGTCATAGAAAGCAAGTTGAATATCACTGATCTGCAAGTAGGATCCAGAAAGTAGCTTTGGTTTCTGATCAGTTCATCCTCAGGTACCAGCCCAGCAAGATTTGGAAATATGGTGAGCCACCCAAGGAGAAATCAGAGTGGTGGGTGGGTTCTGTCCACATTTGAGCGGGTGTTTTAATTTAATTTCCTACTCAGTTCTTAACTTTTCACTCAAATGTCCTTGTTTTTCTCTAGGAAATTTTTTTAACTTGGGACTTGAAACCATATTTATCTGTTATTGTAGGGAGATTTCTACAGAAGCTATGTTTTAGAGGCCTCCAAAGTTTGATGGGGGGGTTACAAATATTTATGTATAAATATCATATTTATGTCATTTCTAAACTCCTAAGGGAAAAATTTCAATTCCCAGTTCACCAGAAGTTTCAAATACTTATTAATTAAATGACCACTGTCCCACAGCAATGCTGATTAAAATAGGAAAGGTTAAATGTTGACTGGTGCTTCGACATTTCCTAGTTACATTAAAATTAACGCAAACTGACAGCAGCACATTAACCCGAGTCACACCTGTGAGGAATTTACCTTCTAAATTTGATTTTGTTTTTCATCTCCAGGGCCTTAATGAGAGTGTGTTAATACACATGACTATTTTACAATGATAGCTCTAAATAATTTATTTTTTATTTCATGAAAGAGAAATACACCTTAGAAAAACAAAACCCAAGATTTGATTTTATTTTTAAAGCCATATTTTTGTGCTAGTAGCACTTAGATTGTTCCATAAGTGAGACCCATATCTGCATTTCATTACCTGGGTTTGTTCTAAAGAAGATTTATTTTTGTTCTGTGAATAATTTTTGACAGTTCTTGTACATGTACAGATACAGATAATGTTTGAGGTCTTTTATTGATATTCCTACAAAGAATACAAATAAACTTTAACTTTAAACATTTCAGACTAAAGTTGCTACTGTATTTGACATATTACTATTTTCTCACACCTATCTGGGTGATTAGGATACTTGGAGAAAAAAAAAAGAACAAAAAATGCATACAGGAAAGTTATCCTGAAGATACAGTTTAAGAGCAATGTGTCTTAAAGTTCCCCAACTTACAGGCAAAAAATATTTAGATGTAGGACAAATAACTAGCATCTATTTACTGTAGTAAGACCCTTAGAGAACTCCTCATTCTAGAGAATTTGAAATCTCTTTAATAACTAATGGCTGGTAAAGAAAACATCCTCCCTTTTATTATTTCTATAAGGCCCCATCTAGCTTACTAACCACTGTTGTCTCTCCAATCCGCCAGACAGAGCAGTGGGGTTTGTTGCAGAATCTTTGCTCTTTGGATTAGGTTTTCTTGTTGGTCATTCTCAAGGTTACTATTTCCAAATATCCCATCTTCTCCTGCTTTACTTTTTCATCTTAGAAAATCCAGGAATGCAGGTTCCATATGTAGTTTTCTTTTGTGCTGGGTGAGGGCCTAAAATCCCACCAGTAAAGTCTTTTCTCATATTGGAGTTATTTCTAATTCTGTTCTACCAGCAATTAAAAAGCTAAAATTCACTCAAAATCCAATGAAGATTGTGAGAGAAGGGAACTCCAGATCAGTTCTCTTTTTTGTTTACCTCGATGCCAATACATTTCAGTCTAAATTGCTGATGACCTAAGGTAAGCTTTAAGGCTTCTTGGATCTGAAATGTCAAAAAGAGAGAAACTGTTGATGGTAACTTAGGATTTAACCCCAGTCTACCTGTGTATTCTTTATGTCCAGCCATACTATTTATTTTTCTTAGCCTTTCTCCAGCTGCCTACCTTTTATAATTAGCACCTTCACCAATGGGAAAGTAATGAATAGTGGTAGGCCACAACCTCTGCCAGTGGTAGCAAAAAAAAGGTGACAAAGGAGACTAAAGCGAATGATCTCCTGGGCCCACATTTCTATCTTGTTGACCAGAATCACTGGAGAACTTTAAAAAAAAAAAAAAAAAAAAAAAAAGAGTACGGTGCCTCTTGAGCACCAACACAGAACAACAATTAAATAGAGTCTCTCTAATGATGGGTAAGGCTTTTTTTTTTTTCAATTTCTCCAGAGGAGTGTAACTTCAGTCAGGCTAAACTGAATCCAGTGTCAAAATCCAAATCCAGTGTCAGTATCTATAACAATGTTTTCTTTGTCCCTGTCCCTGGAACTGGGATAAGGTAGCTATAGGTGTTTCCTAGCCTTTAAAATGTTACTATGACTGATAGTTTGTACCCTACCCTCATACACACACACACACACACACACACACACACACACACATCCCCATCAATTCCATCTTTAAATATGGGAGAAGTTCTCTCCATTAATATGGGATAGATATGTTCCAAGGTGAACAGAGGTGAGATTGCCCATTATGACCCAAATTTTCCCAAGATTGGCTTTAATTTAAAATAGAAGGTAGCTGGTTTCTAGTTTGGTTTCCCTCTGGGACATCCATAGACCTAATACTTGCCACTGCAGTCTTATTATTTGAAATTTTTCTTAAAAATGTATCAGATACTGAATTGTCTCATTAAATCTGTTCTTCCTACAATAGCAAAATGCACCAAAAAGCTCTCCAATTCCCCTTCCCACTCCCAGACAGGCTTGTATGTGTGCTTATGGTTGTACATGTACGTACACACACACAACATTCTTTTTAGCCCCCTGAGTTTATGAGATTTTAAAATGAATTGCCTGGATGATATTGCTTTTGCCTATGAGTAAATTGCAATAAGTTATCAAATAAATGCAAATCTGTTTCCTTGTCTATAAAATCATGAATTTGGCTAGATGACCTATAGAGAACTCTCTATCTCTGAGATCCTATGGTTATCTGATAAATTATCTGAGGCCATCTTCAAAAATCAGCTGGAGGCTTTAACACAGTATTTAGAGACAATTCTTAACAATCTCCCATCCCACAATATTTTAAAAGAACAGGGAAATAATGTCAGAAATATATGTATATTCAGAATTATAATAGCTAATGGTTATCATTTATTGAACACTTATTCTGGGCCAATTTGCTAAGCACTTTTTAAAGACTATTTCATTTAATCATATCAACCATGTGAGTTCAGTTTCCTCCAATTCATGAGGAAACTGAAGCTCAGAAAGAGAGTTTCTTGCCCAAGGTCACACAGCTAATAATACAAAGGCAAAATGCAAATTAGGTCCTTTTGACTATGCTAAGAGCTCTGGAAAAAATAAGGAAAGATTGGAAAAGATCTTGGCACATAAGCCGACCTATTACCAATGAGCCAAAGTAATGGCCATGGAAACAGATGAGCTCATTTTTCAAAACTTCTTCTCTAAATACATTGGTTTTGGCAGTCCTGCTTTGCACTGTCAAGCCTTCTGACTGATCAAAATGAGAAGTGAGCAGAAGTTTCACCTCACTCAAAAACCGGTCTTTCATCTCGTCTGGGTCAATCAAAGCTGGGACGTTAAAATCTGCTTTCAGGACTCCAAAGTGTTGCCCTGAAAAAGGAAGTGTACCTGACTCAGATGCAATATGGTAATTTAGGATTTCAAAAAGGAAAAAAAAAAAAAAAAAGAAACTGCTGAAGAAGAGAATACTGAGCCATGATTAGGACCAACCAACCAAGGGCTGAAAGAAAAGTCTCACGCCGGACACGCTGGCTCTCCTCCCACATCCTGCCACCCGCAAGCAGTTCTTTTCTGTCTCTTTTGTGTTTCCCTCTCTCCTTTTAATCTATTAAATAGATGTACCTCCCCATGCTGAAAATACTCATCTCTCCCTGGGCCCACATTTCAAAAGGCCTGCTGTACCACAGAAAACTAAGTTCTCAGAGCCTATGGACAAGCTCACCTTCGGCTGGAAGCCACTCTAACCATCCCAGGAACTACAGCCTCATAATAGGACTACTTTGTATTTATTTGTACAGCATGTTAAAGCTGATTAAATACCTTCGCATAATCATCTCACGGGGTGCCTGCAACAACCCTATGAGGTAGGCCAGGTCATTTTTACTCTTTCTCTTTGGCAGATGACAAAGGAAATTCTTAAGTGAAGCAATTTGTTCCCCAAGCTTCACAATGGACAGGGAACCAACACTGGGGTCCTCATCCTTGTCTCTTTCCCAACACTTCCTGCTGTCTTTCAGAAACTGTTTTGGGCGCCCCGTGCTAAGGAGTGGCTGCCCAGATTAACTTCTCAGTGGTTAAGAGTGGGGACTTGGTAACCAGAAACAGTTACCTGATTCAGGTTCTGGAGCTTTGTCTTTAGACTCTGGGCCTTCAGATGGGCTCACATGTGGGGGCTCAGTGGCCAGAGCTGTAGCTTTTCTATCCGTGTTGCTCACTGCTCTGGTCACAGCTACAGGAAGGAAAAACAAACATGTTTGAAACACAACTGGAAACAAGTTTTGTGACTGCCCTGTGCTGGAAGACCCACACAGGCAGCCACTGCCATACTCAGAGTGACTAGAGGAAGCTTCCAGAGTGGGAAGCTCTGTCTTTTCCAGTCTTCCTTGACTTACTTCCACATGCTCATGTTCCCAGCCATTGAGTTGCTATACCATCCTCTCTGAGAGCCGGAGGTGTGGGGCTTGGGCAATATTAGTGTCATTTCTCCTCAGTACCAGAGGTTTTCTTTCAGTTGTTCTTACTATGAAAGGACCAAAGCCATTATGTTGTCTGCCAGCTACACAGAACCTCACCTTGACACCCAGGGACCCTAACATCACCTCAGCCTTCCCAGCACTGTTCTCTACCCTGTCTGGCTGGCCATCCACTGAAGCCCCAAGTATCGCCAAGTGGGATCACTTCGCCCCCTCTCACTCACTCTCACATTCAGTCACCAAAGCCCTGTCAGTGCCTTGCAGATGCCTTTTTTTCAAACACAAGAATAACAATTTTTTTGTGGTGTATTATTGTAAAATAAGGAAAAGTATCCCCTTCCCTGACCCAGGGATGACAACCACTATTGACAGTTTGCTATAGAAAACCCTTCACACACATGAATTTTCTCATTTGAATGCATAAAGGCCTACCTTATTCTCTCTAAAGGCTGCACAGTGTCTCATCGAATGTGCTGTAACCTGCTTTCGACTGCCTATTTTTCACAATAATAAACAATGCTGCGCCAAGCAATTGTGTGTGCAGAGTGCATATATGTGTGTGTGCCCTGTGCTATTCTATCCTTGATAAGCTTCCGAGGATAGAATCCATGTCTGTAAGAGTATGCACGTGTCAGAACAGTAGCTATCGGTCCTTTTCCTGTCCAGAGTCTGATGGCTGATTTCCCCACAGTCTCATCAGAAATCTCACCCTTTCTTTGCCAAACTGGTAAGTAAACAAATTTTTAAAAAAACTTGCTTTGCATTTCTGTGATTCAACAAAGATGGGCATTTTTTAATTGTGTTTATATTTCTATTAAATAATGTCACTTGCAAATGTAAAATCAATTCCCTTCCATCCTTCACGCCACTACTCCAGATTCAGCCTCATTTCCGCTGCACCAGCCTATGCACCATCTTTCCCTGCACCTATACTTCCTGTCTCAGCTTTCCTGCCTGACTCCTCTCCAAATGCCCTCTTCTGTCTCCACTCATAGCAGCATAAAGGTCTAAAATGAAATGAGTAAATCTTTAAAATCCAGCAACACAGGAGAGAAGACACACACTCATCTTCTTATCACCCAAATATCACCACTGTTAACACCGCACACATTTCTTTCCAATCATCTTTTCTAAGCATAGGTTGAAGCTTCCTTTCAATACGGTTCTGTACTATGGGTACTGACCCAGGTCATTATGACCAACTTGCTGCTAGAAACTACAAATCTGAGCATTTTGCTCACTTGCCAAACACTTCAGGTGCCTCCACTGACTTTAAGAGTAAATCCCTCATGGGCCTCCCCAGTGGCGTAGCGGTTGAGCGCTGGGTTGCGAAGCTGCCTGTAAGCCTCCGTGGCACCGGTTCGATCCCCGGCTGCTCCCTGGTCCCGCATGGCGCGCAGACCTCTCCTGCCGCCTGCTGCTCCCCTCAGCAGTGTACTTCGGTCCTTCTGCCTGCTCTGCTCCCTGCTCTGGCTCTGGTGAATTCTCTCACCCTCCCGCGCTTCTGACTGTACCCAGTGCTTGTATAAATAAGTAAATAAATCTTTAAAAAAAAAAAAAAAAGTAAATCCCTCAGAATGTGTCCCATCCACCACTTTCCCCCCATCTCCTGCCACTCCTTTCCCCAATATGTGACCCAAACACCAATCACATCAGATTGCTTACCATTCCCAAACCACACTCCTCATATCTACCTTCTCTGCACAGGCTGTTCCCTCTGCCGGGAAGAACCTTCCAATTTTGTCGTCAGATACAATACTTCATCACCTCTTATCCAGTTACCACCTTTCCGGGTAGAATGAATGATTCACTTTCTCGCCGGAGCTCTTGGTTCACTCTCCAAATACAGCACTTACTGAGCCGTCTTGGTTGTCTCTGTTAGTCACTGTTATACTAAGCTCTTTTTAAGAACAAGAAACAAGTCCTGTGCATCTTGATATCCACAGTTCAATGCATGGTACAAAATTTACTCAGGATTGATGAATATAATCATCTACCAATGTGCAAAATACTATTCTAGGCTTGGAAAAAATGCCAAGAGGCATACAACAGTCCCCACCCTGTAAGATTCCACAATCTCAATAATTAATAATTGTGATCATTCATAAACATTTATAACTAATAAAAAGAATGAGAATGAGGCCAACCTTGTCTATCGAATAAGGTAAGGATGGAGGCAGGACACAGAACAAATCACTGAACATTTCACTAAACATTTCACTAAGGAATTCAGATTAGAATGGTAGTAACTACCATTTGTTGAGTGTCTGCCAGATGCCAGACACTGACTTGATATTTTTCTTCATTTTAAAGGTGAGAAAAAGGACGTTCCAAGAGGTTAGGAAACCTGGCTAAGGGCGCACGGTCAGTAACAGAGACAGCATTCAAACGCTTGGCTGTCAGACTCCTGCAGCCAAATCAGATTGCTTCTTCCTTAGATCGCCCCATCCGAAATGTTTACCCAGGGAGAATGGAAGGTGAACTGGCTCTGGCTGGACAGGATCCCCTGCAGAGTGGACTGGAATGCAACCAGGAACAGGAGACTAAGGACAACCCAGGACACCCGGGTTCGCAACCTCCGCTGCCTGTGGCCTGGGCATGGAAGTTGAGCCTTGGTTTCCCACAAAGAGGGATGGGCTGCAGGAACCTGCCAGGGTCTCGAGTTGGCACCTGTTTCTGGCTCTGGCCTGCTCCCAGAGGGCTGCGGGCTAGTCGCTCGGCTCCTTGTTGCCCACTCAGGGCTCGCGGTTGTCCCTTGGTGCGCAGCAGGACTCCCTGGACTGGAAGCCTCCGAGGTCTGCTCTTCCACCTCCAGAGGCGTGGAGCCGCCGGCCCCGCTGGGTGTGCCTGCCGGGGTAGCGGAAGCTCTGTGGGCTGAATCGAGCAAGGGGCTCGAGGCCGCCTCTCGCGTAGTCCCTGGCGTGCTCTGGGTAAACTGGGGCCCCGGGGGCACAGGGACTGCAGCCAGGCTGGACGTGGAGGCCAGAGGGGGCCCTGTCCCTTCTTGGAGATCAGAGAGGTCCTCCGGGGGCGCAGGGCCGGGTTGCCCCGGGTCGTGGGACTGGATGGCAGGATCTGGCCCAGTACCAGTGGGGTCGAGGGCCAGAGGACTTGGGGCAGTGGAGTCGGTGGGGGTGCTGGGCTCGGCGGGCTCCATGCTGAGTCGCTGCGGGGCCTGCATCTCCGAAGCGGGCTCCTGGGAGGCATCCGTGGGACTGGTGCCCGACCCTACAGCAGGAGACAGGGCTTGTGCCGGGTCGCTGCACCCAACCCCGGCAAGAGCTGCACCGCAGCGCCAGGACGCAGACGATGGCGACCTGCCGCCAAGGTGCAAAGCGTAGCCAGGGGACCCCAAGACCCCCCAGCACCGAGCAGAGGGAAAGCCTAGCATCCGACTGTGGCTCCCGTGCCTGCAGCAACCTTGGGGTCTTCCGGGTACCGGCCGTTAACTCTCTGGCAGACAGTGGGGTGCAGGGGCTGCCTACGAGTCCACTAGATACGCCTGGGTGGCTTGCAGAACTGGGACAGCCAAGTCCGTGCCAGGTTGAATCTTAGACGGGAGGCAGAAGGCAGGTTCTTACCCTGCTTCTTACCCATCCCTGAAGGCAGACACCCCCACCACCATGACCCAGTTGCCATCGGGTAAGGACCCCCTCCCTTAGCAACTCACAACACACCCCCAAACCCAACCCTGCGGCAGGATCTGGATCTCCTGGGTCAGCAAAGCACCCACCCCACCCTTGGAAGCTAACTCCACCTCTTTATCCAAACAAAATCACCTGTAGGAAATCCATAGTTACAGGGCCTGGGACTCTAACCCCCTCAGTGACCCCACTGTACCTCTGACTACACTAAACAACTCCACCTGTCAGGAGCCTCCTTCCCAGCTGGCTGGGAGCTCTTTCAGAACGCACCCTGTCTGCCTCTTTTTTGCGTCCCCAGAATTAAGGAAGCTCTGGAAGACTATAAGCAAGTACCCTGACTTCTCTGTGTCCTGATGTAAAGATGTGCCCTGATGTGACTGATGTAAAGAAGCCAGCAGAACTGTGATTTTGCCCTCGGTTATCCTCCTTAGCTTCAGAACTCTTGGGAAGCAAAATGAGGGAATAGCTGTGAAGATGTTTCAGGAATTTAGAAATGCTAAAGAAAGGCTAACACTGCCATTCCCAGCCATGTCCCCACACATCTTCTCAACAACTCATCCATCTTCTCTCCTCCCTGAGGAATCCAGAATTAGAAGGGATTTGACAGGCACCTCTACTGTGCTTGCCTCTCCGGATGCCCAAATTTGAAGGCCTCTCTGCAAATTTTTTCCCTCAGAGCACTGCTCAGCATCCTACCCTCTGCCTCCCAGGCCAGGCCCTCAGCACCTCACCCAGAGAGGCCTACACAGTCTCTCTCAGCTCTCCATGTCCTGGAGCTGCAAGTTCAGTGTCCCAGCTCCAGGAAGGGTTTCATGGTAATCTAGTCTTCCTCCTCCCAATCCCACCTGACCTAGCTGGGGTACACATAAATGACCTTTGGTTGCTGCCAGCTTCCTGGCCTACCACTGGCCCTTCTGTGAGGATCCAATGGGGCCCACCCTGGGTTGCCACAGGCAGGCCACCCTCTCCACTTCCCAGGCCCCGGATACCCCAGAGTCCAGGCAGGAGCAGGTTCAGGTTACCCAAACAGAGCAGAAAATGGCAGTGTACTTGGCCTGGGTGTTGTCTCTTTAATCGCTTCTGAGGAGTGAGTGAGAAAGAGCAGAGGGAGCTCTGCCAATGCCCGGTGGCCAATGGACTCATCTGCAAGGAAATACAAGAGTGAGTGGGAGGCAGGGTAAGTGGAAAACGCACAGCACCCCCAGGTTCCTCACGTCCAGCAGGCCTGTGAAAAGTCCCACCAGGCACTGATGGACCAACCCCGCCCAACACAAACCAAACTCAGGAGGGCACATGTATCCAACACCTTTAATCTTCACAGCAGCTCTTCAGGGGAGGACACATTGATCTTTCCTATTCTACAGATAAAGATCATGATTCTCATCTAATTCAAAATACAAAAAAGAAACAGCCAAGAATAGGCAAACCCACAGAGACAGAAGGTAGATTAGCATTGCCAGAGCTGAGGACTGGGGAGAATTCAGAATGACTGCTAATAGGTAAGGCGTTTCTTTGGGGGGCGGTAAAAATGTCTTAAAATTAGAGAGTAATGATGCTTGCACAACCTTGGAATGTACTGAACCCCATGGAATTGGACACTTCAAATAATGAATTATAAGGTGTGTGAATTAGAGCTCAATAATGATATACAAAAAAGAAAGAAGAAAGGGAAAATGAGGAAGAAAAGCGTAGGGTCTCCCCAAAAGGGCTAGAGAGGCTTTTCTCAATGAATCCAGAGTAGTTCTCCTATAACCCTGGCATGAGAACTAGAAGTCACTCAAGGCCTGTGAGGCTCAGCAGGTCTGTTAAAGGATGCAGATTGTTTTGAATTGAGAGCAGTGAGGGCCTGAAAGCTAGGAGAAGCTGCGCTGCCCTCGCCTGTAGGCTTTGCCCATCGATAATTGAAAAAGAGATCTCTGTCCTAAACTTTTGCCCTTTTCCTAATTGGAGAGCAACCAGTAATCCCTCTTTCATGACCTAGGAGAATGAGGGGGGAGGGGAAGCGTATGTGGTGTGTCTCATCCAGGAGCAAGTTTATAAGTATGTCCTCTCTCTCTGAGAATTCCTCTTCACTCTCAGAGTAAGAATGAGCCCACCCCCTCCCTGTCTGTCATGTGAAGTCTCTCTGTCTCTGTCCTTGCTACATCACGTCCCTAAACACGGGATCAAAATCCCGTCCACTCCATTATTCTTTAGAATTTAAAACCAGGTAAATTCTCCATACATATGTTGTTGATTTTTCCTTTGCTCACCCATCTGATGCTGTTTTGATTACGCATTGTAGGGTAAAGAAAATGTCAGGCTTTTCTGCCCTCCCCCCATCAGGATAGATGATGGATCCTTGCGGTCCTGAATGCATGCCTGATGGCGGGCACCTGGAGTAGGGTGTGGGCAGAGGTAGATGGAATTCACCTGGGCTGAGACTGGGCTTTTAAGGGTGGCGTCATGGGGACGCCAGCAGAAGCTGAGAAAGAAGCAGCAGAAGCAGAGAGAAGGCCGGAGAGCCCAGATAGAGTGAAGACTTGCTGGGGGCTGGGAGGCCTGCCAACCTCCCGGTCCCCCAGCACCCCTGCCTGCCGTGTACCTGGTAATCCAAATAAAAGACCTGCAAAAAAACCACTGAGGACTCTGACTCCTCCTTTACCCGGTCTGCATGGGATCAGAAAACCTATACTGTGGTCCATTCCTGCCCCTTACACACATCCAGCCCATAAAGAACCCAGAGGGGTAGGAGGTGGTTTCCTTTGCCCCCTTACAAAAGGAAGAAAGAAGAGAAAAGGCAAGGGCAAGGCAGGTTGAGGCCTGTTGCTGAGAAGACATCACCCCAAGATCCTGAAAAAAGGAGGTGGGCCTCTGGTCCCCATGCATTCACAGTGACGATGACAGGACCAGTGGCTAACCACTGTTGGTGGCATGCTTACTCTGTGCCGAGGCCTCTACCAGGTCTATTTTGTCCATTCTTTCTTCTGTCTTCAAAGCCGTCTTATGAGGAAGGTGTCATCAATCCATTTTTGTTAACTATGCTTTTCAGATGAGGAATAGGAGGCTGAGACACTGCCCACCTTATTTCAGAAGGGTTTCCTAATTCCAAAACCCATGTTTTTAACCAATAACTAATTGTTACTGGTCGCTAATGCCCTGAGGCTGGATGGAGTCCACTCCATTCTTTGGAGATTCCTTAGAGGTAACAGAGAGCCTGCTGCACAACTCAGATCCCCCCTCAGATTCTGCAAACACTTTCAAAGGTGTCTCCTGCTGCCAAATGCATTCCCCATCCCTTCTGACTTTTCTAGCTAAGCCTGAAGGAACCCAATGTCACGCACCATGGAAGCAGATGAAGGGTCTCTGGAAAAAGCAGGCTTCTGCATAAACGCGGGGTGGGTAGCGAGCATAGATGCCAAGCGCCGCACACAGCCCTACCCCCATCTGGGGCACCTGCAGCCATTCAAGGATGCTGTCACCCAGGTCGCTGGACCAGCTTGGCAATGCAGAGGCTGCGTTGTAATAGAGACCAATCCAGGCCTGGTCCTCAGTGGTGATAGACCTCAAGGCCTCCTTGCCGGCATCGTCAGTTACCCTCTGCAGGTCAGCCAGGTCAGTGTAGTGCCTGCGGCAGTACTGCAGCGCCTCCATCCATGTCTTTTTTTTATCAAATCGTATGAAGGTCTCTCCGTTGATCTGGACCTCAGCTAGGGACAAAGAACACAGAACAGGCCTGAGGTCCTGGTCTCTTCTGTGTGGCCCTCATTGACTGTGGGACAGAGCTCTGATCTGATCCTGTTCCTTTCACATTAGGCTTGATCAAACCCAAAATTTTATAGGCAGACTAAATACCAGGGTAAGGAGAAGCTATCATAAAGGCAGTGGTGGGAGCAGAACATTAGGAAAAGCAGGGGTTAAGAGCTCTTTTCATGGCTCAATGGCCTTACTAGTTACGTTGAAATCTCAGTTTCTTCATCTGTACAATAGGGCTGTGAGGATTAAAAGCAGACATGTCTTTACAATGCTTAGGAAGTCCACACAGATGCTAAACATTTAATAAAGTGGTAGTTAATCTTTGGAGGAAGACGATAAGGGGAATAAGACAATCCTGGTTTGGAGTCAAGCTCATTCGTGATTTCCAGGGCTGTGCCTGCCCAGCTCCACTCAGATTCCAGGGCTGAGGAAGAAGAAAGGACTATGTGGTCAGATGTCAGGAGAGCCAGGGAGAAGAGGTGAGTCCGGCAAGGGGCAGAGACCTGCCTACTGAAGAGGGGATCCAAAAGCCCATCTCCCTGGCATCTCATGTAGCTCACATAGGCCACGATGCCACTCCCGTAGTCTCTTTCTCTGACCCAGCAGAGACTGGACTGGGCAGGGCCCACTTCCCCTGCCCCCCTCCCCCTTTCTAGATCTTTCCATCCATAGCACCCAAGCCCACCTCCTGCGATTCTAACCAACAAAGCTAGAACGCACTTTGGCAAGACCGGAGGGGTTGATACCAGAGTCCTGGAAAAGGAAGCACTCCTGTTTGCACACCTGGGAATCACAGCTCAGATTCAAATAGCACCCCAACACTGACCCACCCACATGTTCATCTAAGGCCGGCATGATTTGCCTGCCATTTCCCCTAATGCTTTCCCTATCTAAACGGATTGTTTCCTTTCCCTTGAAGCACTTGCCAGCCCTGACCTCTGCATCTTTTGAAATCCCTACCATAATCCTGAGATGTAGATGATAGTGGCTTCATTTTACAAAGAAAAAAGGAGGCTCTGGGAGGTGATGGCTTGCTAAGTGTAAGACAAAGGCAGTCTGGCCTCCTTGGAGACCTATGTCACTGTCGCTCTACAAGTCCCTCATCCATATTCCGTGCATGCAGAACGCCAGCTCTACAAAGCATCTTGATCGAGAAGTATATTTCCCTTGTCATAGAATTTCTCTATATCAGACAAGATAAAAAATGTTTTAAATACCAGAGCAGTGATATCCAGAGGGAGAAATCCCTCTCACCAGATGGTTAGGCCTGGGCTGTTCTCCCACCAGACACTGAGGCTGGGGTTTGAGGACGTGCATTGGAAGAGCTGGGCCAGGCCTGGCCTCTGTTGCTCTCTGACTGGTGACCTTGAGTGAATCACCAGCCTCTGGGTTCATCTGAAGAACAAAAACTTTGACTCTCTCTGCAGGATTCCGTCTAGGGGGCAAAGCCTGTGTTTCCCTCAGCCATGCAGCGGGGGAGGGAGCAAAGGGAGGTGTGGCCTCCCCAGCATGTGTAGGTGGACAAGTCAGAGGGAGGTTCTAGGCGGGTACCTGCCTTTGGAGAGGTGGTCAGGCTGAGAGCGGGCTTCGTGGTAAGGCGGTGTCCCACGGAAGTATCTGTTAAACAGAAATAGACCATTTTTTTGAGGCTGGAGCTGGACTGCACCTAGAGCCTTCACACTGAAGCCTGGAGAAGCCTGGCTGCCTCCCACTCTCTCTTACCCCTACCCTCTCCCCCCTCTCAACCCCTTACACCTTCCCCTTTCTTTTTGCTCTGGAAAAGTAACCCTGGAAGAAAGGGCAGTCCAAAATGACCCTGAACACTGAACACACCAAAATAACAGATGAAAGGTTTCTGCTCCGTGCATGAGGCAGCCCCCAGGGTGGGGATAACATTCATGGTGGCGGACAGAGTGCCACAGATGCCCTCCTTGAAGACAGGCATGGAGGTAGTCCATTGTGGCTGAGAGAAGGCAGAGCCGCTGGACCAGACAGGGCCATTGATGTTCACATCAAAGTAGAGGCCGATCCATGCGTGGATACTGCTTGAGAGGCTGTAGAGAGTCCTTAAGCTGTTCACACTGCCCACGCTCTGCAGGTCGGCCAGGTCTGTGTGGTGCAGCTGGCAATGCCGCAGGGCGTCTGACCAGCTCAGCGTCTCATTAATCCTCTGGAAGGTCTTGCCGTTGTTTATCCACTTCAGGGCTGCAATGGGGTGGATGTTATACTGTGATCGGCTTCCCGGCCCTTCTTCTCCGCCCCTCTGCTAGTCCTCACTGCCAGCACCTCAGTTGCGCACGACTCTGCCTCGAAGGACTGATTGATCACCCCTTCCACTCCTTCAGTCCCCTATTTTTCACATTCTCATTTCTCTTTCCCCTTTGCCCAGCTAACTCCTTACCACTTTGCCCATCCTGGATGGGTGCCTTCTTATTTGCACCTTTGTTAGTGCTTAACAGCAATAGATGGTATTTACTGAGCACCTGTGCTGTGCCATTAGCTCATCAAATCCTTCCAACAGCTGCCTGGGAGAGAGAGCAGGGAGCCTGTTTTACAAAGAGGGAAACCAAGACACAGAGAGTCAAATGCCTTGGTCCAGGCCACACAATGGGAAGAGGTTTGGGCAGGACCCAAGGACCCTGGGTAGGGTTCCCAGGCTCTGTCCCTTCCCATAGCACGAAACTGCCCTCCCTGATGGTGCCATCAGGTACCTGGGACTGCACATTAGCATCACCTGGGGGGCTTTTCAAACGTACCTATGCCCAGGTGCACCCTACATCAATGACGCGAGTCTCTGTGACTGGGGCTAGCACAGGATTTTTTTAAAACCCTGGGGAAAGGGCCTCCCCTGGTGACGCAGCGGTTGAGCGCTGGGTTGTGAGGCTGCCCGCAGCCTCTGCAGCTCCAGTTCGATCCCCGACCGCCAGGCGAGGGTCCCACAAAAAAAAAAAAAAAAAAAAACAAAACCCTGGGGAAAGGGACTTTTTTCTTGTCTGTCTCTATTACCAGATCTGGGCCACTTGAGAGCAAAGAATGAGCCTTAATCATCATCATATTCCAGTGTTCAGCACAGCAGAAAGCTCCATGTGCTGAAGCAATGAATGATGAGTGAAGGAACTACTGAACAAATCAAACTTCTCCCAGGAACAACCCCAAGACTCAGGGTCTTAATCCTTCCTTCCTCCCTCCCTGTGCGCAAACCCCAGGCTGGTCAAGAGTTGCTTTGCTGCCTATGCCAGAGGGTGGGAAGGTGAGGGGTGGAGGGGAATAAGGGTTTGGTGCCAGGAACTTGACGGGTCCCAGACCTTGAAAAACCAGATGCCAGATGTCCAAGGAGAGGAAAATAAGACTGAAGAACTGGCATAGAGAGTGGCAAGTGTGCGCAAGGGGGAGTGGTGTAGGCCGGGGGAAAGGGATGAGGAGACACTTGCCTCAAGGAAAGAAGCTGCTGATACCCACCTGTGTCCACGATGCTAGCAACTGCTGAGGGAAGCTGGAGAAGCCCTGTGCCCGTGGGAATGGAATAGGAAAAATTATTCTTTCTTATGATATGTCATTCGTGTTGATATGCTTTTATCCAATCTGTTTAATATTTTTAAATCATTGACTTATTGATTTTAGGATCTCATAGGTCACAACACAGTTTGACAAAGCCCGTCACCCCCCACCCCCAAGGGCATCTCCTGGCTTTGAACACTGTGTGCTGACAACTCCCAGATTCCCACCCCCAACGCCCACTGGCCATGAGCTTGGGGTATGTATCCCAAGGCTGCGTGCACCATAGACTCACCTGCCCGTCTGTCCCAGGACACCCAGTTCATTAAACAGCACTGCTCACTCCAGCATCTCAAGCCCCCACCCAGGAGTCCTTATTAGTCCCTGTCTGTCATTCTTTTGGGTTTTTTTTTTTAAGATTGATTTATTTATGCATACAAGAGCTTGGGTGTAGGCCAGAGGTGTGGGGGGTGGGAGGGGGTGAGAGGATTCACCAGAGACAGAGTGGGGAGCAGAACAGGTAGATCCACTGAAGTACTCTGCTGAGGGGGGCAGCAGGTGAGACAGGAGAGGTCTGCTGCACCATGTGTGTAGCTTCCTGGCCGGGGATCTAATGTGCTGCAGTGTTTGCCGATAACTTCATAGTGCTAAGACTTAACCCCTTGGGCCACCAGGGAGGCCCTATGTCTGTCATTCTTGGCAGCAATCACACTGCAAATCCTGTCGTTTCTATGGCCAGTGAGTCTTGAACTTTCCACTTCTTTCCATGCCCACTGCCTCCCTGACTCAAGTCACCATCCTTATGCTGGGACTGACAGCACCCTTCCCAAGGCTCCCTCTGCTACTCCCCTGGCTGGTTCAACACACTTCCTGGTTTCCAGCCAGAAGTTTTCTAAGACATCCCCCTCATCAACCCAGGTACAACTTTGAGCTCCGTACCTTGGCCCACAGGCCTGCCCGTCCTGGCCCTGTGTTGGAGGAAGCTTCCTTGGCCTTCACGTTTGCTCCTCACACACCAGACACTCCTCTTGTGGGCTTTCCCAGTCTCTTCCCTGCACCGTAGGACCTTTTTCTTGACTTTATTCTTCACTGTTCCTTTCTTCAGCCTCATGCTCAGCCCCAATCTCCCTTTCTCAGAGAGACCTCCTGTCTGCTTGGCCTAAAGGACCCCCCCACGTGCCTCCTTCTTCCATTACTGTCACCCTAAGTGTCTCCTTCTCCGCATTTGTCACATTCTGTGATGTATCTCGTTTAGTGTAGATAGCTTTTTGCCAATTCTTTATCCCCCCACTAGAGCGCAAGCTGGGGGAAGTCAGGGACCACCTTTGACTGGACCTAATGGGCACTTCCATATTTGTTGGTGAGAGGCATCCATGAAGAAACAATGAGGAAAATTATGTGCAGAACAGCACAGTAAAGTTCTGGGTCCTGAGCCCCTGGGTTGGGAGGTGAGAGGGGCCCAGCCAGCGGCCGAGGCAGAAGGCAGAGGGAGGGGGTTCCTGTCTGCTCTCACAGAGCCTGGACATTCATTTCTTTCCACTCTATCTCTCCTTCAGCCTCAAAAATCTGGAAGCCTTAGAGGAGAAGCACCCACCCTCAGACCCGAACCCCGAACACAAATGGGATCCACCTGCCCTCCTGAGGCGGAGACCTTTTACCTGCTAAGCAGAGGATGAGGGGCAGCACCTGGGCCTGCATCGTGCACTGAGAGCAGAAGCTCCTGATTCTGGCAGAGGCTGCTGCTCCTGGTCTTCTGGTCATTTCTTCTTTGCTCTTCACTCTCCTCCTCTTTCCTACCCAAACTGACAGATTTTACTAAACAAATAATGGACTAGGGCCCACTGCACGCCAGTCACCATGTAAGGCCTGGGGAGGTAGCCAGAATAAAGCAGGACAGATCCCTGCCTTCCTGTAATGTGCAGGAGGGCGCCGTGATCAGGCAATTAATGAGCAAAGAAGGGAAAAGATGGGCCTCCTGGGTGGGGAGGATGGCTGCGGGGGGACAAGGAGGCAGGGGCAGGGCTAGGTCAGACCCCTGGGGTCCTTAAGCGTATAACCTGTACAGGATGGAGGAGAGAAAAGAGGGTCTGGAGGAAGAAGGAACTGGCTTGTGGACCAGATTGGGCTAGACTGTGTAGGGGCAGGAATGGCCACCGAGCAGGTTTTCTAGGATCCAGCAGACCGGGTGAAGGAGGAGTCAGAGTCCTCAGTGGTTTTTTGCAGGTCTTTTATTGGGGTTCACCAGGCATATGGCAGGCAGGGGTGCTGGGGGGCCGGGAGGCTGGCAGGCCTCCCAGCCCCCAGCAAGTCCTCACTCTATCTGGGCTCTCCAGTGATCTCTGCTGCTGCCTGTTGGGAGTGACCCCAATAGGCCCTGGCATGAACCGGTTCTGCGCTGGGATGAAGTCATCTGAGGCTGGCACTGCCCAAGAGAATATTGTGATGGGACGACTGTGGAACAATGAACAAGTTTTTCCTCCTTTCCTTCTGCCTTTTCAGTCCGAGGGGCTGTTTGCCCTTTCCTCTAGAGGGGAGAGAGGCGGAGGACAGAAAAGAGTCTTCCAGGGTTCGGTTTCCGACGCTTAGCCTTTAGGGGAACGCGAGAGCTGTGGGCATAAACAGGATGTTAGGAGGGAGACACGGGGGAGTGGAGGGGGACGGAGAGAACGAACTGTTCTTGGTTCCCTAGAGAATGTGCCTTCTTCTCTGGTCTGTGCTTAATTAGGGAGCCAGGGACTACATCAGGCTGGGGGGGCCTCTGACATTCCTCAAGTGGCACTTTTAGGGGTCCATCTCCCCTACATCATGCTACCTAGGGACTCAAGCTGGAATAGCTGCTCTGATGCTTTCTAGCAGGTCATGTTAAGTGAATAATTTCACTCTCCTGAGCCGCGACTTCCTCACTGTAAATTGGGGTTCGTGGAGCCTCTCCCTGGTGTGAGGTTGTTGTGGGCTGACAGTTGTAGGGTAAGGAAAAATGTCAGGCTTTTCTGCCCTCCCCCCATCAGGATAGATGATGGATCCTTGCGGTCCTGAATGCATGCCTGATGGCGGGCACCTGGAGTAGGGTGTGGGCATAGGTAGATGGGATTCACCTGGGCTGAGACTGGGCTTTTTAAGGGAGGGGTCATAGGGACGCCAGCAGAAGCCAAAAGAAGAAGCCGAGAGAGAAGCAAGAGAAGCAGAAGCTGAGAGAAGGCCAGAGAACCCAGATTGAGTGAGGATTTGCTGGGGGCTGGGAGGCCTGCCAGCCTCCCGGCCCCCCAGCACCCCTGCCTGCTGTGTACTGGGTAAATCCCAATAAAAGGCCTGCAAAATGCCACTGAGGACTCTGACTCCTCCTTCACCCAGTCTGCTGGATCAGAAAACCTGCACTGTGTCCTTTCCTGCCCCTACATCCCCACAGACAGAAGAGAACCTGATGACCCTGCATTGGAAACCACGGCCCCTCCTTTGCTCTGTGTCTCTTGATTTAAGGGCCCTGCAAGGTACCAGGCTTCCCATTAGGAGTTGGAGAATCAGTAAGTGCAGTGAGGGGGTGGTGGTCTGGGTGGGGTTCAGCCTTTCCCTAAGGGCAACACTTGGCTCCAGGGTTGAAATTCCATGTACATTTCTTCCCCACCACCCCCACCCGCACTCGGTCTGCACCTTGGGAGCAGGACTGAGCCACGGTGCTCACGGCGTAACTAGCACAGCAAAGCCGCTGGCTGGAGAGTAGGCCTTAAGCTTAGTATTAGGAGGATTTGGTGTCATTGTTCGACTCCTACCTGCCCTGTCTGGTACCTAGAGATCCTGAATATCTAAGTGATGAGGAGCCTTGGACTGGGCATAGAGAGGTGGGGATGAGGAAGCATCGCCTGATCCCGGGGCGCAAGATTCACTGGTGTTGCATCAGGAAACAAAAGATTAAATGCTACCAGGAGTGGGGGAGCAAGCAGAACTCCTAAGCCAGCCAGGAGCAGACACCCGGTTTCCACCAGCCGTGGGAAGCAGTGGTTCATGGAAATGCTTGTGGCATCTTCTCCCCCAAGTGGGAATGCATTTCCACCCAGACACAATTCATGCAGTCTTAGAGCATTTTCTCTCCCACATCTACACCTTTCTTCCCACACCAGCTAGATCTGCACCCCCCTGCCATTCCCACACTTGCTTTGTCACTTGGAACTGCTCTCAGCACCCCGAGAGTAGGCAGGGGTTCTCATGCAAAGCGAATTGCTCACTTCTATCTGGGTTCTTGGTTAGTGCTAAAAACCCAGATTCATACATTTAGAGATCAAATTGACTTTATTAAATGATTCATAAATCAGGCAGCATCTGTCTAGGTGCTGCAAGGTCTTACACAAAGTAGAGGGTATTTATAGACAGAAAAAGGTTGTTATCAAAAGAAAAGACTATTTCAGGTAAAGCTACCTTCCTCCAGAGGGAGGCAGGAGGGTTTTATCATGCAGATTACCTCACTGGTGCAGATTGGTTCAGGATGACATTTTCTGGAGAGGTTGAAATTGCAGTAGATATGAAGTCTGGGTGGGGACCAGCATGAAGGACTCCATTTTGGGTCTGTATTTTCTATTTTTCACATTGGAAATGGGCTTTGTGGCCGTAACACCCCGCCAAGCACAACCCCACCAAGTTGGTTTACCGTGAGCCTTTATTCCTTTAAGATAATAGAAAATATCTATATTGTTTCCTGCCCCTATTCCTTGCACAGACCTCTGAAAAGCCATATAATTTTTTGGGTGACGGGAGTGTCTTGTTCTAATGAGGTGACGCTCAGTGGGTTCCTGGGTGGGAACTGGTCACCAGAAGGTTCACGTGCTGATGAGAAACTTGGAATTTTAGGGTTTATGATTAATCAAATCTGCATAATGAAACCTCCACAAAAATCTCAAGAAGATGGGGTTCAGAGAACTTCCTTGTTCATGAACGTGTAGATTTGGGGTATCAGTGCTCCTGGGAAAGGGTATGGAAGCCCTGAGTCCTTTTCCTACACCTTGCCATGTGCATCTCTCTGATCTGGTTGTTTGGGCTTATAATCTTTGGCAATAAAGTGAAATGTAAGAGCAATATTTTTCTAAGTGCTAGTAAATTAAGCAAATCCAAGGGGAAAGGAATTGTGGAAACCTCCAATTTGTAACTGGTCAGCATCTCAGGTGACAATCTGGACTTGCAATTGGTGAGTTTGGAGGTGGAGAGAGTCTGGGGGGATTGAGTCCTTATTGTGGGATCTGACACTATCAGGGAGATAATGCCTGGACTAAGTTAAATTGTACAGCACCCAGCTGGTGTCAAAGAGAATTGCTTGTAGTGGGGGTGCCCCCCCACATCTGGTATGTTGAGTGTGGCAGAGAAGAAACCTAGGAGGAAAGACTAGGAGGAGAGGAGCTTCCTAGACAATCCCTTATCTGCAGAATGAGAGTAATAATAGCTATTTTACAATGGTATTATGAGGATTAAATGTAGTAATCTATGGAATGGAATTGATACACTATACCAGTTGCAATGTGCAGGAAAATTTGAGTCTCTTGTTTCTAAATATTTCAACAACTGTTTTGAGATGAACATGCAATAAATGCATCATTTGAAGTATGCAGTTTGATCAATTTTACAGAATGTGTATACCAGTGTGACGACCTCCACACTTAGGTTATTGCCTACTAGGACATCACCTGCACCCCCACCAAAATTCCCTCCTGCCCTTTGCAACAACCCCTCCCCATCTCAGCATCAGGCAACCACTAACCTGCTTTCTGTCACTATAGATTCATTTCCCAGAATTTCTCTGAAATCTCATTCAGCGTAATGTCTGCAAGAGTCACCCTGAGGGCCCCCCTGGTGGTGCAGTGGTTGAGCGCTGGGTTGTGAAGCTGCCCGCAGCCTCTGCAGCTCAGGTTCGATCCCCGGCCACCGGGCGAGGGTCCCACATGGCGCACAGACCTCTCCTGCCGCCCTCTGTTCCCCTCAGCAGTGTATTTTGTCAGTCTGTCTGTTCTGTTCCCTTCTCTGGCTCTGGTGAATTCTCTCACCCTTCCGCACTTCTGACTGTACCCAGTGCTTGTATAAATAAATAAATAAATCTTTAAAAAAAAAAAAAGTCACCCTGATTGCTGAATGTATGGATAGTTCCTTCCTTTTTATTGGCAAGTAGTATTCCATTGTAGGAAAAGACTGCAGTTTGTTTATATGCCCTTTTGTGGGTGGATTTGACATTGCTTCCAGTTTGGGACCATTATGAACAAAGTATAAACACTAGTGAACAAGTCTTTGTGTGACTTTATGTACTTGTTTCTTTGGGGTACATGCCCAGGGGTGGGATTGCTGGGTCCTACAGTTAAAAACAGGTATGCTTATAAGAAATAGCTAACTCTCTTCCAAGGCAAGTGTATCATTTTCACTCCTGCTAACAGTGCAGGAGAGTTCCAGTTACTCAGATAACTCTACAACACATAAATCAGCTTAAAATTTGACTCTGAGCTCTCTCCCTGCCAAGTGAGGATGAAATTCAACCTTATCTATTTTCAGGGCTGTTGCCAACACGCATGTGCATGAACACACACACAAAACCAGCCCACACTGGAGAATGGTGAAAAGCCTAGCCTGGCTATGCCATCTGCTCTGCTTGCATGAAGACCCCTCATCTCCCAGGTCCTTTGGTGATTTTAGACCTCCCACCCCTGCCATAGCTGACCCACCTCAACAAC